AGTTTTTTTTTATTGGGGCTGAAGATACATAGTGATACATGGCAGATACGGGCCAGATACCGTATCTGTGGCAGCGTTGGTACCGGTCACAGGAGGGTGTACACTGGTACCGGTCTTTGAGAGTTATGCATCCTGTCAATGACCGGTACCGGTCACAGCAGAGTGTACACTGTGTATGACCGGTATGGGTTGGTATAGCAAGTATTGGCTGGTCTCCGGGGGAACCTTTCACGTTCCCCAGTTGCTATCTTGAGCAACTCGTGGTGCAAAACTGACCGACTGCCAGTCGCTAAAAGTGCGCCGCAGTTGCCAAACTTGAAGATTTGGCAACTTGGATGGCAACCTGCTGTGGAGATGCTCTTAGGCTTTGAAGAAGAGGAATTGATTTTGAATGGACTCTAGTGTCACCTTTTTGAGGGGCAAAAAGTGGTCGAACTCAGTTTTTTTAAGAGGTGAACCAATGGTTTTTAGTTGACTGGAAGGAAACCCTTCTGGTCAACAAGGCAATGTGCCTTGTTGAGAACAAACTCCAAGTTTGAAGTTTGTGACATGTATGTAACAGCTATGTACATATGTAACATCCCCTGTTCCAGGCTCCAACAGCTCATAAGCGCAACAAATACAATACATGTATTGTATCTGCACTACATTCTATTGTATCTTGTTTTGAGTACATGTGTACAGTAAACCCAACAATGCTTGCAACTTTTGACAAAAAATAATTAAAAGTTTGACTTGCAAAGAAAGAAAAACTTTTTGGCTTATGGGACAGTATTAAGGGTGGGAAAATCAGGACAACTCAACTGTCTGCTATCACACAGTGAGAGTTCCGACAGGCAGCCAACTGACATTTCAATTAAAATATTTTTTTTGCTCAAGCAAACTTTTTATTTTCTTTGTAAAAAGTTGCAAGCATTGTTGGGTAGACTTTATTTGAATATGTTGTATCACCCTGGTAAAAAAAAACATTACAAATACATTGTATTCAGCTGGCACGTACAAAATGCAAAATACTTTTGTATTGTATCCTTCTGGCCAAGGAAGCCTCATGTTGTTGAGACAACTCCAAAACATATACATAGGTTTGGGAGAACAACTCCTGATCTCCTTTTGTAATTGGCTTGATGACTCCCTTGGTATTAGTATTGGGAAACAACTCTCAAGATCTCCTGGACCAAAGATTTGCTCCCACAAGGGTTTGGACCTGATCAAGAGGTATTTGACACACTTTTTCATTCATTTTTGGGGCTTTTCAACATGCTTCTCAGTATTCAATTAACTTTGGTGCTCCATTTCTTCACTTTTTTGTCCATGTCAGTAGTGGATGAAAATCCAAATGCTAAACTAGGAACAGCACCACAATCTCAAATAATAATCCATGGATTCCAAAATATGTTTGAACAAGCACATCCAATTTCTTCCGGTGTGTTTGTTCAGTATCATTAAGGTGTTCTTCATGAAGCAGCAGAATCAAATGTCGCATTGAGTTTCAACGGTCGGTCCTTCCGGTTATCTTGAGTCGAGTGATTGAGTTGACGCTCAGCTGACTGATGATGAGTCTCCTCATCGCAGGGTAAACTGAAGGGAGCACTCGCGGCAATCTCGTATGTACCCGTGCCAATGCCTGTTGGCATATAGCCCGGGTGGCCTGTTTGCTGCCCATGAGGTGCGGAAGGCCGGTCCGCCGGGTCCCAGCCGGCTGCAGGATGAGAGATGTCACAGATGTCTTCATGTGTTACAGTCGGTTGTTGAAACCTCATACCGTGATGAGAGTTGCGCGCAGTGACTGAGCGCAGAAGC